ATTTCATTACACCAAATATACAAAATAATGTTCTTTTTAGCAACATCATATGACCCCTTTAAAAAAAAAAAAATCGTGAGAAAATCAAATCGTAAATCGAATTGAATCGTGAGTCGAGTGAATCGTTACATCCCTACTCAGAATCGAAGCAGAACAATTACTCGCTTCACGATGCTTCGATTTATTGTCCCAGCCCTAGTTGTTAGTGGCTGTAGAGTAATCTGTGTGTGTGACGATGAGCTTCTTACTTGAGCGAGAGCGAGAAGTCGTTCTTACAGGTCTCGCTGTTCCTCACCAGGTAACTGGCCTCTTTACACAAGCGCAGCAGAGCCTCGGCGTCCGTTCGGCTGATGGCTCCATGATACCAGCTGTGGAGCACAGAATGACAGGCGTGAGCGAGGAAGAGCGGCAGAGCCTTCATCAAGCGTCTGCTGTGGGTTCAACTCACAACTGGCTCTCCAGAGGCACGGCCGGGTCGATGCGCTCGCCCACGCTCGGCTCGGTAGAGCTCATCTTCCCGCTCGAGTGCCGCTGCAGCGGACGACACTTCAGATCCTTCTCCACGCCGTCAAACTGCACTGTAACAGCAGAAACACAAAGTACACTACTAGTGACGTGTCCCATAACAGCAGAAACACAAAGTACACTACTGTTGATATGTCACATATTCATATAATGACAACTCAACTGCATAACTGATCTCTAACTGCGTCCCAAATGACGCCCTATACACTATGCACTTATACACTATGTACTTATGCACTCAACCATGTAGTGTATGAATTATATAAGGTTATTTTGTTGTTAATAATTGTAATTAAAGCTGCAACAGTTGAGTTTTTTTCGGTTATTTAACTGCATCATCTGGGTATTTAAAGTGCACTTTTTCTTTTTGGAATTTTCAGTGTGAACACACTACTCGCACTATTTATACTACAAGACGTCATAGAATAGTGCATAAGAATGCGATTTGGGACGCACCTTCTTTCTCTCGTATCATTTAGCAAGTTTTTTTTTTCTTTCTCACATAATGAAATGATTTAAGCTTTATGTCCATTGTTTTGACAAGTAGCCATTTATTAGGCTGAGCAATGTCTAGTTATTACAAAATATTATTATTATTATTATTATTATATTATGTTATTCTAAAGTGTTTTTAAATATTTTAAACCTTTTTTAATAAGTGAAATCATTCAAAATAAATTATTATATTAATTTATATTTACTAAAACTATTTCATAAAAATAAAATGTAAAAAAAAATAAGGTAACATTGTTACACGTTAAATGTACTTACTATAGTAATAATAGTAAATAATGCATAATTACAAGCAAACCCTTAACCAAATGCTAATGTTAACCCACAGTGCATGTTGTTAATTAATATTATGTACTTAATTGTATACTTATATTTTATCAAAGACACTTTAAAATAAAGTGACACCCCCAAAAAAATATATAAATGAAATGTTTTTGTTTTTGCTTTCCACCTGTTGAAAATGATGATGCATTCTCTTCTTTCTCATATAATAAAATGATTTAAGCTTGAAACGATATTTAAGGTTGAAAATGATAATAAAAAGAAAATGTTGGAATGAAATCCACAAGTGACCTGTAATTCCTCGAGCATGTCACTGCTATCCAGAAATAGATTTTTGAAGAAAATTGACCCAGCATGACCTTGTAAGACTAGCAGTCCATACATTGGGATTTGTGCTTTATTGAGCAGAAACTCCCTGCGGGCCGTAACTCAATCCAGTGAAGTCTCTGTGAGCGCCTGAGGGACTGAAGCTCATCCTGCGTGTAATGAGAGGAGCTGCAGACGAGACAGATGCTTCATAAAGATACTGAAATATCCTCATGCGGACGAGAGGGAACGCGGGACGTCCCGTATGAGACCGGCTCACGGGAATCAAAGGAAAACACACATAAACCCACACAGAGACATGAATGAGAGTGGAAGCACGTTTGATTTCTGTGGCAGTGTCGTCATCTGACCCTGAGCTTTATCTGAACCGCTTTATCTAGCAGAAACACGGGAACAGATGCAGACACAGACTGAACAAACAGTCTGAGAGTTTCACATCACCTTACGGACACTGCAGCTTCAGCTGGACCACAAAGTCATTTAATTATTCATTCAATTTTATTACACAATATTTGTTCATTTTGACACGTCAGTCAATAAATACACCTGCCTTAGATAAATGATAGATAAATAAATCTACATGCGATAAATGACATGAGATCTACATGAAATAAATCTAGATCTACATGAGATTTTAATACGGAATTATATATATATATATATATATATATATATATTAGTGCTGTCAATTGATTAGAAAAATAACTAATTAATCGCACATTTTTTCTGAAATTAAATTTTGCGATTAAGTCCACCTAACATTACATTTTTAAAAAAAAAATATTATTTTTAAATTTATTTTATTGCAATAATTTCACATTCAATCCTTAAATTAATGTAGAAACAACATAAAGACAGTATATTTTTTATATTTGTATAATGGCATTTTTTATGACTGAAGGCCAGTGTCACTGATACCAATACTACAGATGTCTCTATGAAATTGTTTTTCTCCCTAATATTTACCCATTGACTATAGCCATTCAACATTACAGTATAATTGAGAGCTATCGATTTTAACACTTATTTGACTACTTAAACATACAGAAATTGAATAAAGTTATGAAACACAACATTTTAAATTAAATATACTGTAGATGAATCCTTAAAGCTACAAAAATGATTAATTTCCTCTTTTTTTCTTATGTTCTTTGATGAACAGACATCACAGCAGCTGGTTATTAGTTTTTTTGGCTGCTATTACTTTAAGAGCTGCCGCTGCTGAACATGACGCGGATCTGACACGTATTGTATTTTCTCACATCTCTTTACCTTTTCTGACCCACTTCAGGTCTTAAAGTCTCTATTAATGAACTGGCGAGTTGAATCGGGTGTGTTAGATGAGGGAGAGGGGAGGCAAGCTCCAGGACGGTTTGGAAAAACAGAGACTTACATTTTCTTAAATGACTTACACACATACACAGCTTTAAGGCAGCTTTAATCGCCTTTTTGGTAACTTCATGACTTAACAGACGACATAACTACAACATTGCATTCTCGTACTGTAGTTTCTTTCCCGCTTTGATATGAAAAGATACAGGCTACAGTGCGCGCCGGTGTCTTTGTGTGTGCAATTGAAGATCACGCGCTGCGAGCACAGTACCGTTTCCGCGTCTGAAACGTCTCCGGTTTGATGTGATTATAAAGACGTCCTGCGACTGAATAAACGCAATTTTTGTTAAAAAAATTAGACAGAATCAGCAGTTGTGAGTGGGGTGGTCAACCCTAGCCCCGCCCCTGCGTTAACTGCGTTAAATATTTTGAACGCCGTTGAACTGAAAAAATTAATCGCCTGCGTTAACGCGCTAACTTTGACAACATTAATATATATATATACACACATACATACACCTATATATAAGAGTTTATTTTGTGAGAATAACTAGCTGAATTTACATTATGTGAACTTTAGAGTGAAACTGAGTAGTGAATTATTGTTATTATACTATATAACATTGAATATATAATATAATACAATTAATAAATAATAATTAAACACACACACACACACATATATAGAGCAATTAATACAATTAATAAATTAATAATAATTAATAAAAAGTAATATATTATGAAATACTGAATATTATATAGCTGAAAAAAATAGTTTATTTGATCTGTGTCTATAAACACAAGAAAGTAAGTCTGGCCCAGTACAGCCATCAGTCCACATGAGATACAGGGGTCACAGAGGTCACGGGGGTCAGAGGGGTCACAGAGGTCACGGGGGTCAGAGGGGTCACAGGATGTAGCTGTAGTGAGAGCTCATGTTTCTGATGAATGAATCTGTAGCCTCGAGCATCAGTGACCAGATTCACACGTGTGTGCGTGTGTGTGTGTGTGTGTATATGTGTGTGTGTGTGCGCGTTTTTGTGACAAATGAAGACATAAATTTGTATAATGACTATCCCAAACTTCTGAACGGCTGTGTGTGTGTGTGTATATATATATATATGTGTGTGTGTGTGAGTGTGTGTGTATATGTGTGTGTGTGTATATATATATGTGAGTGTGTGTGTATATGTGTGTGTGTGTGTGTGTATATATGTGTGTGTGTGTTTTCTCGTGTCTCTGTATCTCCGTCTCACTGTAAGAGTGTAATTACGGAGAATCTCATCTGTGACTCACAGGCTCTTTACAGCATCAAATATCAATTAAACAGAGTCTCTCATATCAGAGTTTATTACAGTAAAGCACTCAGCAGATGGAGCAGTTCACAGCCTCACAGTGTGTGGAGCAAAGAGTTATGGGTAAAACAAAAAAAAACCCTTTTAATGAGTTACCTTTCTTTTCTTTTCTTTTAAATCAACATCAAGATTTTAGATGTTAAAATGATATGCACGTATAAGTCTATATTAATATGCCGGAGGTCAGACTGCAGGACACGTGGACTTCCCCTATACTGTGTGCTTTATAGATCCTTTATGTTCTCAGTGAATGATGTATAGTGTTGTTGTGTCTGCTGCCACTAGAGGCCAGTATGACTGTCGACAAACACCTGAAGCAGTCTGACTGAACCATAAACACTAATAACCTCAGGCTGTACAAAAACAATCTTTCATTATTTTACAATCCAATTCTCACACAATGCTTACAAATATGACTGTATGAAGTCATAGTTCATCATAATCATCATTAATATATTAGCAACAAGTTTGGGGTCAGTAAAATTGTTTATTCGCCAACTGTTGGCAAATAAATGTAACATTGATAATAATCAAAAATGTTTCTCGAGCAGCAAATCAGCATATTAGAATGATTTCTGAAGATCATGTGACACTGAAGACTGGAGTAATGATGCTGAAAATACAGCTGCGCATCACAGAAATACATTACAGTTTAACACATATTCACATAGAAAACAGCTACTTGTAATAATATTTCACACTATTAATTATTTTTCCTGTATTTTTAAGAAAATTAATGCAGCCTTGGTGAGCAGAAAAGACTTCTTTCAAAACCTTTTTTTAAATATTACTGACTCCCCAAAACCTGTGTACAGTAGTGTGTATATGTTTTATTTATTTATTTTTGCATTAAGAAATGAAACTTTTGATATTTTATTAAATACTGCAAAGTTATAATTGTCCGATTACATTTTAAGGCCACTGCATTACCATGCTACTGAATTATTACCATATTCAAGTATCATGAAAAAGTACCACGTTTCTATCATGTGTCCAGTAAATTCATAACAGTGCATGATTAGAAAGTAACATGGTACTGTAATGTAAGCACATTCACTCAATCAAACCACATCAGGTTATGCTGTATACATATGTATAACCAGGACGCATCAAATGCATGACAATGAGCATTAAAAATATTCAAATGAATAAAACAGCTTGTGCTTGAATATTAGTGGGGATAATTAGCATTATGATCATGCAATAATGCTGATGCAGCTCTGTGTGTGTGTGTGTGTGTGTGT